CTCTGTCAGGATCATTGGATTACCCTCTGTAGTCGCTCCTATGAACTGAAGGAGGTTAGGATGACGTATTTTAGAAGCAATATTCATTTCTCGAGAGAATGTCCCAATGTTATAAGGAGAGATGATGACTTCGTAGAGACACTTTGCAGCAACCTTCAGACCACGAAAACCAGCTACTTTCACCTCTCCCCATCCTCCTTTACCAAGGACTACCCCTGTCATTCTAATCTCTCTTCTATTCACTACCCAGGAAGACTCTGCCACTTGTATCTGCTCTTCAAGTTGTCTCTCTCTTTCTTGGAACTCTCTCTCTCTTTCCTCAAGCTGTTGCTCTCTTTCTTGAAGCTGTCGTTGAAGATCCTGTTCTCTTTGCTGGCCACCTTCTACTTGCCTTTGAAGCTGTCGCTCTCTTTCTTGAGATTCCCTCTCTCTTGATTGAAGTTGTTGTTGAATTTCCCTCTCTCTTTCTTGTGCTTGTTGAACTTGTTTCTCCTTTTCTTGAAGCTGTTGTTGAAGATCCTGTTCTCGTTCTCTGGCCTGCCTCTCTCTTTCTTGTCCTTGTTGCTGTGCTTGTTGAAGTTGTCGTTCTCTTCCTTGAAGTTGTTGCTGTAGTCTATTTCTAACTTGTTCCTTTTCTCTTCTCTCCTCCTCTAGTTCCCTTTCCCTTTCTTGTAGTACACGTGTCAGACGGTCTATTTCTCTTCTATCCTCAGGTTGAACAGGTTGAGATGCTTCCCATTCTCTTCTTCTTTCTTGTAGTTTCTCTTGATACTGGTCCAGAGGTATTATACTAGTAGACCAATCATTATTACTAGTATATCCTATACAGTAACACAATAGCTAAATTAATGACAAGTACACGTACATGCACTTTTATAATAATATCAAATACTATAAAAAAGGCTATACTGTTAATTTATAATTATTATATTCAATATGTACAAATTGTGTGTATTCAATACATTTGTATTTACATGTACTCACTGAGTTCAATAACTGCTGGATCTCTTATTGTTGACCAGTCTCTCAGTCCTCCAAACACAATTATCCAGTTAGTAGTTGGAGTCACACTCCAAACTGAGAGAGAATGATAATATCTCTTAATGACCTTGTCTGGTATATTAACCTATAACAGAAGAAACATTAATAATTATTCAGTATTCGTTTTCTTTGTATTATTTTGTTCTTTATTCTATTCCTCAATACCGTATTGTGTATTATACAAACCACACCCACAAACTATAAGCCACACCCTAAACCAATATAGTGTTGTATTATTAATGTAAACCATTCTTTCAGTAATTATTAATTATTTACATTATACAGTATAACATACATAAGTACAATACTTGATTACTAGTACATAATAATAACCAGTTATGATGTATTGTTATTATATTACATACTTACCAGTTCCTTCCATGATTTATTGTTAATATCAAATATCCAAATATCATAAGCTTGATAATCTCCACCCACCACTAGTAGGTGTGGTCCTGAGCTAGTGTTAATCAATGCACTGGAATGAGACTGTCTTTCCTTAGGCCATTGTACTGATCCTCCAGGATTAGATAACTTTGAACAATTCTAAAATGATATAAGTAAAATTTAATTATCATAAACCACACCCACACATTCAGTGTTATGAATAATAATAATACACACATACAGTACATTATTAATTAATAATTAATGTAATTATACTAATAATACACTCACCACTGATGTATCAGTAAAATTAAGAATATATACATCATTACTGTCTCCGTTAGCAGTGTCACCTCCAAATAATATAGCACTGGAATTATTAATTGATGTTAAAGTGAAGTCATAAATAGGAGGTGGTCTGTGTCCAGTGATAGTCGGAGATATCCATTGTCCTAAAAATATCAATAATAATAATTAGTGTGAATGGAATGCATTGGGTGGAGCAAACTAGTTGATATTTCTTTGATCATATTATCAAATAATTAGGAGTGACAACCATGAACAAACAAGCAAGCAATTCTCAATGCAACCAGTCTGAGTGGAGAACCACCAAATAACAATACTTCATTATATTAATATAAACTGTATGTGCTCTGACCTGTTGAGAGTTTATAGAAATGGATCTCATTGCATTGTTGATAAGAAAGAAATCCTTCACGACTGTACTGGGCACCAGGTTGTTTGGGTGTATTATTAGAAGTTGGTCCAAACCCTCCAATTACTACAAGATAGTCCTCACCGTTCACTTTTATTGCTATCATGTCACAGTAGGCCTTCATCATAGGACCATGATGAGATGTAGTAGGAGAGAGTTCCTTCCATTTGAAGGTATCAACATTAAAACTGTATAAATAATAATATTTATCAGTAACTATTATGTTTACCTGTATAAACTATTATGATAACAGTCTTCATGATTACAATCCCCTCCGAAATAAAATATTTCCCTTCCAATGGCAGCAGCTGCATAGCTCCTAACACCCAGTGGAGGGTTACCAGTGGTGGGTTTCTGCTCCCACCTACCAGTCCTTAGGTGACACACCTCCATCACAGAACACATTGATTTCTTCTCTTCATTATTATGTACTTCAGGGAGACCAGGCTGGGCCCCACCCCACATGTACAGGTAGCCTCCTACCCGTACAGTGGAGTGACTATATCTCTCCACTGGTTGATAGTCTATAGATAACCAGAGGTAACAGTAACTGAATGATACACTAATAGTAACAACACACGAGTCATAATCAAGTATAAACAAAATACTGACCTGCTGCTTTGGCTGCCATTTTGTTTGGACTTTGAAGGAATGAAGGTAACGCCCAACGTCAAATAATTATTATTGTAATTATGAATTAATAATTATTATTGTCAAAAATAAAAATAAAAATAATTAATTTATAATAATACTAAAATAATTATTCCACAGATATTGCTGGATGCTGTTTTCTGTAGCAGACAACGTTCAGTGAGATTCTCTTCTATCCTCAGGTTGAACAGGTTGAGATGCTTCCCATTCTCTTCTCCTTTCTTGTAGTTTCTCTTGATACTGGTCCAGAGGTATTATACTAGTAGACCAATCATTATTACTAGTATATCCTATACAGTAACACAATATTATTATAATCAATTATTTGAGTTAGTTAATAAGCAAATCTACATGTACATGTACTCACTGAGTTCAATAACTGCTGGATCACTTATGATTGTTGAAAAGTTCCTCTTTCCTCCAAACACAATTATCCAGTTAGTGGTTGGAGTCACACTCCAAACTGAGAGACAATGAGAATATCTCTCA